TCGTGTCTTTTGTAATGCTTAGGAAATAATGTTAGTATCCAGTCCCTAAGGATCAAGATATTCCCTGTGCTGTTGTCTGTTTCTGGACTACAGTGTTTAAGGCTTGTGGCCGTGAACTGAACCTCTGAATTGTATGCTGTTTTCACGCCGAGTACTCTTGCAGCCTCCAGAGCATCAAAGCAGAACACAGTAAAATGCTGCCCAACGTACTGGTAGTGTGGAGAGAAGTACAGCTCAGAGCGACGCTAGGCGTGGCCTTTGGCCTGCCGAGTGTGGTACTGCCAACCTGAATATTTTGGACTGAACGTCATACCCAGCTCAGGGAAAGCAGGAATCTGCGTGCCTGGCACTTGAGAGACGTGAATTGCTTTACTTCGTGTTTCTTCTTGCTTGTGAATATTCTTTTAGTAGCAGCAGGCTGGTTTATAAATCATGATGACTTTTTAATTGCATACAAAACCTTGTTGAATAATAGTTTGGTTTTGAAGCTTGTATAGTAACTGGGGTTTTGTAAATTAATTTGGGGTGAAAGAACATATTTACTATTCTCTGTGTGTGTGCCATAGTGACTAGGAAATTTTGCACTTCTCACAACTTTCTCTAGAGGCCTGCGAGTTGCCCGCAATGAGAGCGATGAACGCAGACCTGCGTTTTGGAAACGGTGCGCGTGCGATAATGTTGGCCTGTTGTTTTGCAGAGGGTAATGAAGATTCCATTAAAACACTGGAAGCTCTTCATCAGAGGGTGAAGCACCAAGAGAACTTGCTGCAACGTTGTAAGGAGAAGATGAGATCACATAAGGAGTGTTGTGCCCAGTTAACCAGTGAGAAGGAGGCACTTCAAGAACAGTTAGAAGAGAGGCTGCAGGAGCTGGAGAAAATGAAGGTATGGAAAGAACTCCAGTATTTCCAAAATTTGTTAATAGGGCAGACCATTAAACAAACTGTCCCTGTACTTTTTTGGAGTTAAAGGTGCAAAACTGACCTGGAATGAACAGATTGAGCAAGTACGTAAAAACCTGTAAAGAAGTGTGTGAAACCTTACTGTATGAATAACCATCAAAATGGTAATAGAAATAAAGTAGCTGTGGGAAGTTGGGGTGAGGGAAAGACTGTCCTAGCACAGAAGACAGGAGGTAAAGTGAGAAAAGTGGAGCAGAGCTAAACCTTTAAGACACAGTGGGAGAGGCATCAGTTACGTAAATGAAAATGCAGAAAGGGAGGACAGTGGAGAGCACAACATAATGAAGATTAACATAAGTGCAGTCCCAAAGCTAACTTAATATTTCGCTCAGTTTTCCTTTTAAGGACATAAATGCTGAGCGTGGAGTGAAAGTAAGGTGGCTGATAGTAACGGAAACACGGAATTGTGAGAAGTACAGCTGTATTCAACTTTAGTTGTGCAAATCACATACTCCTCTCTGTCTTGGTCTCCTAGCACTAGCCCAGATGGAAAGAACTCTGAAAGAATCAAGTATTTTAAGGACCTCTTCCAAAACAAGGCCGGTAATGAGCCGTTAGAACATTGCATTGCTGGAGTAAGCTGAGGTGCTGGTAACAGGGCAATTGCCTTACACATGTTTCTTACCCATTTTACTATAGCAGCTCTGACATCCATGAGACAGCTGTGGGGGCTGTAACAAAGCCTTCAGATATCTGAGTTACGACAGAAGCCATGAGGCAGCCTAGCACTGGGAGATTTAAAAGTAATTTAAAGCTGCCTACTCTAATTTCCCTGGATTCTGTTCTGTGCTCTTCCTCCAAGGCGTAGTGCAAGGTCTCATTCCTAGTCTGTTTCACATTTTTAATGTAACGACAGCCTTGTTGTTCACGTGCCAATCTAGAAATGGTTCTTAAAAAGAGTCAGACCTAAGCTGTTTGTCAGAAGAAGGTGTTTTCTTACAGGTGACAATGGTTTAAATTAGTGGTTGGGGTCTTTTTTTAGGACTTTCACATGGCTGAGAAGACTAAACTGTTTACGCAGCTGCGCGATGCAAAGAATTTGATTGAGCAGCTAGAACAAGACAAGGTAAATAAAGTTTCTTTAAACTCTGTAGTTTTTGAAGATGGTTTAAAACTCAAAATATCTGGCTTCTTGGTATTTGAAGCTGTTATTCATCGTCTGATGTGGTTTGGTTTGTTTAATGTGCAAATAATTTAAGCTACTGGAGAGTTTTATTGTATAGCTCCTTCAGGGTATTTGTTAGGTTATGCTTAATGCTGCAAGATGATGTTACTTAGAATGGAGCAATTAATGCTGAATACACTCCTCAATACCAGGTTTAAACAAAACAAAACAAAACCCAAACACCTCCCACGCCCCCAGATGAGATACAATATAAATGAATTTTAAAAAGGCCAATGAAGGACAAGTTACTGTAGTTTCTTAGTAATATGAAAAGTTTCTTTTTTTTTGTTTTTGTTCCTCAAAGGGTTTTTTATCACGGTCTTGGTACTTGGAGTAACTTCTGGTGGTGCTGTAGGCAACATGACTAACACTCATGTGCATATTCCCTGAGGAGAAGCATGCACACTACGATGGGTTTAGTTTTGGTTTGCTTACAGAATGCATATTTCAAAGAAAAGTGTCTGTACCAGGAGGGGGCGAGTTTTGTGATGGTCCTTAGTTGCTGGAGGAGTTCTCTTCACCACTAAGTAAATTTTGGCTACTCATCAAAATAATCCCTATTTTTACCTTCTTTTTGCTAGCATTTTCTGTTTTCTGACATATAAAACGACCATGACTTCTAGTTTTGTAGTAATAGACTGAAGTTTATTCCTGGCAAGGATTGTGTCCTGTCTTGAAATTGGTTTAGCTGTATGTTTTATTTATTTGCTGGCTTTTTATCACAAGGACCTTTTCCACAGGGCATGGTAATTGCAAAGACAAAGCGACAAATGCATGAAACGTTGGAAATGAAGGAGGAGGAGATAGCCCAGCTGCACACTCGGATAAAACAGATGACTACGAAAGGTGAAGAATTAAAAGAGGAGAAAGAAAAATCTGAAAGAGCTGGTAAGAAACTCTGGAGATTATTAGCTTTCACATTTAAACCTGAGAGAGCTTCAGTGGGTTCTTTTTGGACCCTTTTGTCACTTTTTGTTTGGAATGGATAATAAGAGATGCTCTTTTTCCTAATGTTCTACGTATCACCCCTGCTGGCATCATTACTAACTCTGCTGTTCCTCTGCTGGCCACAGGTGATGATTGTGACTGGTTTGTCTCTGTTCAATTCAGGTGAAATTAGGAAGGAAGCTGCTGAAGGGCAGCTATACTTTCCCGTTTGTAGAAGAGATTGATAGAGTTTTGTGCTGGTATAACTTCAGGAGGGAAACTTGTAACTGGCTATAAATCATCATTTTAATGCCAGGAGTATTTTACATAGAAAACATAGCAGTGAGGGTATAAGAGCTTGGCAAGAACTAGAAACCGGAGGATGTGTCCAACCATAACAAGCATTTTGTTTCAGTAATTGTGGCGGAAACATTCCTGATTTCTTTTTAGTGGAAACCGCAGTGATGATTCCTTTTACTTCGGGCTTGGAACCTAGGAGTTATGTAACTATTAGACACTCTAGTTTGCTTGTGATGAAAAGTAGGTAACATTAATTATGTGTGGTTGCAGTTAGCCTTGTGATTGAAACTGAATTAAAAGGTCCATCTGCCCCCCTTTGTTCAAATAGTGAAATTGTTTTGCACTGTATCAAAACTTCTGGAAGAATGTGGTTTGCTCTCACAAGCATCTGAAGGAGTTCACTCTCTTGGCAGAAGCCCAGATGTGGTTAGTTTGCATAAAACATTCTACATGTTTTCTTTCTCTAGAAAGTGATTAGAAGATCGCGTAATACAGTTCATGGGGGTTTATTTTAAATATAGGTAGGTTTAGATCAGAAATTTCAGTTTTAAAGATTAGTTTGGGTACATCGCTCTGCTGTAACACAGAAAAGCAGCTCCAAGATCCATCTTGTGGAAGTAACAGACTGTTTGATTAGGTGCCTTCCTCTCCAACCCCTTTCGGGTTCCACGTGTCTTTTTGCTCTGGAAGTTCGTATCTCAGTAGTCAGTCAGTCCTGCTAAAGTTGGATTTTGTGCAGTTCTTGGCGAATAGGAAGATTCTCTTCATTATTTAAAAAAAAAAAAAAAAGCTGAAGACTGTTATAATACTTTTGTGGATAGGAGGTTATTGTCATCATTGTCTGAAACAGCATTTTTTGAAGCAGCAGCAACCTCTCAATTACGAGCTCATATCTACACGCTCTGGTTAATACAGTGATTTCCTCAGGTCTGTGTAGCCAGACGCTGAAAACGGGTTAGAGTTGATGATACTCTGAATACCTGGAAAAGTTAACTGCTGTAGTGAGAAGTGGTCTCGCTCACGACTAACGTGTTGATGAGTACACGGCGCGTTTCTAGGGGCAGATTTCTGTGTTGATTATGCTCCTTTGAAAACGAAATTTGACTGATAACTTTTATGGTGCATGAGCATCCCTTCTCCCTTTGAGTGTATTTAGTTTTGTACTCTGTTAAGCATGCATGTATAGATTTTGGAACCCTTGGAAAAGTAGTTAAAGCTCCTTCTAAGATAGGCAAAGTTGTAAGGTAACCTTTAGTAGGTGTTCCTGTTACTTCCTTGGCTTTATGCATTCCAAAAATGCTGTGCTGTGCAATGGAGATGTAGTTCAATACAGTTGAACTGAATTGTTCAGGCATTTGAGAAAACCACCATCAGTATTAGGAGAACCTGAAATTACTTCTAGGTCACAGCCTTTGAGTTGTACCAGTTCTAAGAATTCGGCAGTTTCATGCGTTTGGGGTCAACATATTTCAAGGTCTGTTTCTTGGGTAGTTACTAGGAGATGACTTTAAATTCTGGAGTTTTTCTATATCATGGTTTAGTGAAGAATTGGCTTAATAGAGTATTGTATGTGTAGAAATGTTAATGTCATTTCTGTTACGGCAAAATAAGGAAAAGCGTAACTTATACTTGGAGTTTACTTTCATTGTGCTATGATGTAGGCTAAAAAGTGGCATATTTTTCCACTTCATGTTTTTAACTTGTCAAGAGTTACGTGTCTGGCTTTTCTCTTTGTAATTCAGTGAAATGCTCCAGTGTTCGATTTAATGTTAATGCATTGTTGTGTCCTCAAATAGCGAAAAGATACGTATGCTTTGTTGGTGCGTGTTGTGTAAATTGTGACTCAGTCTCCTCAGCTGAAGTTCATGTTTTTTTGTAGTTAGAAGTACATTATGTTGAAATCTCACAAAGCATCTTGTTTTTGTGCATCCACACATGCCAATAAGTGAATCATGGTGCCTTTCCCAAGCCTTGTATGAACAGGACTGGGGTAAGGGCTCTTTTTTTTCTTACATCACACATTGGGGGCTTGAGCTGTGCTCTAAAAAGTAAATTCTGTGCTTCTCAGGCGAAGTAATAGTGACTGGTATTTCTTATGAATGCTTTGCAATGTACCTAGATTATTTTACATTTTACTTGAACCAAGCTATCTGTAGTACTGGTTAACTGAAGCTTGGTTCTCCTGAGACTTCTTGGCGTAAGCCCTTTCTGACTTCTTAGGATGCAGATTATTGATTTACGTATATCTGTACAGAAAACAGACAGATATACGTATATCTGTACAGAAAACAAACCAGAAAGTCTTTAGTAAGCAAATTCTTTGCTTTACTTGGCCATTCTTCGTAGGTGACATTTCTCTTGCAAATTTAATTAACGGATGCTTTGCACCTTTCTATGGAGAAACAAAAAGCTTGGACTGTGCATTTAGAATCCTCGTTGCACAAATCAACTGTAGGAAAAGAACTCAGCCGTCGGGTCTCAGACTTTGGACGGGACGCCTGCTTTCAGCCGGCGGTAAGAAAACACGCAAAGCCCTCCCTTGCCACCTTGTTCAGCGCTGTCTTCACGGCTGTCAGCAGCAGATGGCAATGGAGGTGAAGATAACACGCCTGCAGGCAGGGAGAGTGAGCAAGAAGCCTGTGCAGCCGGGACTGGTGATGCAGTGGGTGGAGAGGCAAGGCAGAGGGAGCCGAGACTGGTACTTTGGCGTAGCATATGTAAAGCTGTCAACTTTCTAGCGTGTGTTTTATAAAAAATCAGTTTTGCAACCTTGTGCTCCTTAAACTCCGCTCAGGCTCTTCTTGTGTAATTTGTGTACTGCACAGGAAGGTTTCCCGTGTGCCTGGCTTGGTCACATGAATGGGATTTTGCAAGACTCACCTGAGACTCTCTTGGTGTGATTTTTACAGTTTCTGATGTGCCGCTATGCCTTGGCAAGACTTCACTTACCTCGTGCCTTGGTGAAAAGATCCTCCCTCGACAGCAGCTCTGCTGGTTGGGGGAGAACACAGGCAGTGCCTTTACTCTTTGCATTCAGAATAAGTGTGTTTAGATAAAAACAGGGACTTTTATGCCAGGCTTTAACCCACAGTAGAATTAAAATCTCCCATAGATGAAAAATAATAATTTAGACCGTGTTCTCTGTACTTGATGAACAGCCCTCGGCTGGTTTGAAACTGGGTTGTGTCATGCTACGCTGGAATTGACTACTTGGAATAAAGATGTTCTCTTTTGCTTAAGTGCCAGAAGTGCCTGAGATGCATATAATTTAACTTAAAGAGAGCTAAGTGTGTTTCTGCAAAGCGTTGCTTCTTTGTGCTTTCCTACCCCCTTGGTGTTTACCCATCAGCTTTGGCCTAGCTTCTGCGTTAGCATCCTGCTTGCGCTTGCGGTGATGCGGCTGCCCTGTGCATGTTGCTCAGCTGTTCCACACCAGGGCTCCATCCCAGCCTGAACCGGGATCTTCTCTTCGCCAGGTTCGTGGGCTGTGGCAAACGCATTCTCTTTCCTTTTGCAGAAGTAACAGGTTTCTCGAACGGAGATAAAGGATATGTTGCTCAGAACAAGAATCAGAAAACGTGTATGGAAGTGTAAAATAACTTAATCCTTTACTTGCAGGCTTTATTTTCAAGCTATACTTTGTAAAGTTCTGTAGGGTGCTTTTTATAAAAAGACATTTATGATACTGTAATACTGAAGGACGTGGCCAATTCTGCTGGCTGTACATGCTTTTGTTCAGGGCTGAGAGGAGCCATCGGGGAAGTGGGTGTCTTTCCCCAAAGGCACTTGTGCAGGCTGTGTTCGTAACCGAGTTGTGCCCGGGGTGGTGAGCGGGGAGGACTTCAGCCCTGTGGGTCCCAGGGGACAGATGTCTTGATGGGGACTGAGAAAAACTGTGCTTGGGAATTAAGGGGCTGTAAGCTTTGTGCACGCTTGCGTTATGTTTTAGGCTCTTCTGCTGTTTGAAGTAATCTGTAGTGCTCTTAATTTTTTGTCATGAGTTTTAGTATTCATTATTAAGTAGAACCAGAGTGGAAAAGTAGATACAATTATATGCTTTGCTATTGCCAGGGTCACCAATAACCCTGTTTTAACCTAAAACATGACTGTTTCTCTGAGTAGTGAGAGGAAGGCTTCCTCGGAAAACAGAAGGAAATTCTGGAAAAGGTCAGAATTTGGGTGATGCAATTTTATGGGATGAAGTTACTTGAAAACATATTTGCAGCGTTGCCTCAAAAGTAGAGATTGTGGATAAAAGCTTCAGTTTTTAATATTATCAAAGGATGCAGAATGGAAGTTATTACGCACTTCTCAAACTCGTGCCTCAGTGTTATTAAAGATAGCTTAAAAAACCCAAGGATTATGAGAATTGCTGTGAATGCCTGCTAAGTAATGGTGGATCCAAGAGACTAGATGTGTGTGTTTATTATGATTTTCTTTTGGGGATGGAATTAAGTGGAAGAAAGCTTAGCATACTAAATAACACTTTGATTTTTTTTTTCCCTGTCTGCTCCCTGAATAGTATCCAAGTAGTCCAGGATATGATAGAATAATACTTTCAGGTTTTCTGTGCTCTGAGAAATGACACTCTTGATACTGGCACTGTGATTTTGAATTTTACGGGGGTGTTTTGTCAGAGTTCTTTCATGCAAAAAATTAACCATACAGTAGACTGTTCTGAGACTGAATTTTTCTTTGATATGCAGCAAGGGTTTTCCACATTCATGATCTATTCAGGAAGAGAGACTTCCCTAATAGTGATCAGATTCTAGTCTTGTGTAATTCTGTATATATTCTGCCTTCAGTTTCAGTGAGGAACTCCGATACTGGTACCAGTAAATAGTGAGATAATGAAATCAGCACAGCCATCTGAATGGACTCCACCACACCCACAGTTTAAAGAGAGGATTGTCTAGGTTGTACAGCTTGAAATGGATGACCCTTAGGTAAATAAGGTGCCTGGTGTTATACTTCAGTGTTCTGTTCAGAACTCTTTCATGATTCAGTAAAAGCTGACTTGCTTAGCAAGCATGCCTGCTCTATGCTTCCATCTGCCTGTTCTAGTGGAAGAACAACTTGTGAATTGCCTTTTCTTCATGCAGCTTTTTTCCTCTTCAGAGATGCTCAGCCCATATAGCCAGAAGAGGAGCTGTAGTTCATGGTTTATGTATTTTAGAGTGACTTTAAGGGAAGAAATAGAAGATGCAGAATGTATGGGAGGAAATTCACAGCTAGTTGTCAGTTTTCTTTCCAGTTAATAAACCCATGTGAATTCTTGATGGATTCCTAAGATTATTCTTGTGTCACTTGTGTAATTTACAGTTTCTGAGAACTCTGTTCTTCTATCAAGGGACATACATATTTCTCGACTATCATATACTTTTTTTTTTTTCTCTTTTCAGCTTTTGAAGAGCTTGAGAGGGCTCTGAGTATGGCCCAAAAGACAGAGGAAGCCCGGAAAAAATTGCAGGCAGAAATGGATGAAAAAATCAAAGCAGTAGAAAAGTCAAGTGAGGAAGAGAGGGTAAATCTTCAACGGGAGTTAACCAGAGTGAAACAAGAGGTGGTTGAGATTATGAAGGTAAAAGCTGAAAGTCACCCTGTATTATTGGCATTTAATCTAATAATTCAATTACAGTTAAACCAGTTGTAAAATACAATAGTATATCAGAACTTTGCTACAAGATTTTTGCTATTTAATGAATTCTCTAAAAATTAATTTCTGTGATTACAGGTTTACTTAAGACAAAATACAAAACTTGCCATATAGATTTTTTTTCTCTAACAGTTTAAAATCAGTACATTAGACACATGTAAAAATGAACAGTATTGATTCTTGCTTCACAGCATTTAATAAAATTGTTTGCTAGAAGTACTCTTGAGACTTCTAAGGGAGTGAAGAGATTAATGCTGATCAGCTCACACATCTCCACCAGAATTTTGTGTTTTAATACTAGCTAGTGTAATGATTATCCTAGCCAGTATGTGTAAATGTGTAAGAATTTGTTGCCAAACTGTTTGCTAGTTAAGAATGGCTGAAGTTTGCTTCATCTGGTGTGTTTAGATAGGAACTCCAGTAGTACTTCATGTGCCTTGGAAAGCTGAAAACTTGAACCCCTTGGAGTTGCAGTTCTTGTATTGACATTTGTTATGTTATTAACTTTTCAAAGAGGATACACTGGTGCTTTAGGGGGGGATGACTCACTTGCATTACATTATTCTTAACTAAAGCACGTATGTAGGTTGGAGATAGCCTTCTATCTAGGGTTTCACCAGTTGACTTTCTCATTCATGGAATAACAAGAATACAGGGAAAACTACAGACGGAAGTTCCTTATCCAAGTTACTACCACATTTGAACTGAAACCGAAACCACTAAGTTCACCTTGGTAGAAGAGCCTTTAGAGAATGTGATGTTTCTTTTAGTAGGACTGTGAAAGGCGTGAGAAGGAAGATGGATAACTTCAAGCTTGAAAATAAGAACTGTCAGGGCTTAATATTAAGCGCTCCAAGTGATTGTTACTTATTCAAAAGGAGCAAAGAGATGGTTCTGGTTTCCTCTTCTCTGTTACACTGCTTGTCTTATTAAGAAATAATACAAAGTGTTTTGTTGTTTAATATTTTGGAATTAGTTTTGTCTGACTTTGTTTCACAGAAGTCTTCAGAGGACCGTGTTGCTGAACTAGAAAAATTCCATAAAAAAGAAATGGCTACCAAAGATCAGGAGCTAAATGAGAGATTACAGGCCCAAGAAAAGGCATTCGAGGAGAAGATGAAGGCAGCTCTTGTAAGTATCCCTAAAATGTGTAGAAAGACATTTTTCTAAGTGTAAGGTGGGACTAGAAGTTTTAATCTCACCCTGTTCTACAGTGAGGGTCTTTCTGTGCTCAGGTAAAAGTGTCCTCCAAAAGAACTCAGAGACTTGAGCAACCTGACAGCAAAGCAGCTGCAGTCATCCAGACTGAATAATGAGAATCACTTGCTATCACTGCTCACTAGCAGCTGGATCTTGTGGGAAAGACTTCTTTTTTTTAAAACTCTTTTTGTTAGACTTGGGTTTTTTTTTCATTTCTTCTTCCAGATTGCTGGCAATTAGCCACATCAGCTAGAGTAAAAGAGGTACGTAGAATGAGGCTGTTTAACATGCTCATCGGTGACTTGGATGAAGGGACAGAGTGTATCCTCAGCATCTTTGCTGATGATACCAAAGTAGAAGGAGTGGCAAGGCCAGAGTGCTGCACCTGGCGAGGAATAACCCCACGTACAGGCTGGTTGACCTGCAGGAAAGCAGCTCTGCAGAGAAGGACCTGGGAGTGCTGGTGGACAGCAAGCTAACCCTGAGCCAGCCGTGTGCACTCGTGGCCAAGAAGGGCAATGGTATCCTGGGGTGCTTTAAGAAGAGTAGCCAGCAGATCGAGGGAGGTTATCCTCCCCCTCTACTGTGCCCTGGTGAGGTGACATCTGGAGTGCTGTGTCCAGTGCTGGGCTCCCCAGTTGAAGACAGGCAGGGAACTACTGGAGAGAGTCAAGAGGAGGGTCATGAGGATGATTAGAAGACTTGGACATCTCCCTTAGAGACCTGGAGCTGTTTAGCCTGGAGAAGACTGCGAGGGGAATCTCATCAGTGTTTATAAATATCTAAAGGGCGGGTGTCAAGAGGATGGGGCCAGACTCTTTTCAGTGTTGCCCAGCGACACAGCGGCCACAAACTGGAGCACAGGAAGTTCCACCTGTGCTTGAGGAAAAAATTCATTACTCTGAGGGTGCCAGACCACTGGAACAGGCTGCTCAGAGAAGTTGTGGAGTCTCCTTCTCTGGAGATACTCAAAATCCGCCTGGACGCGTCTCTGTCCAACCTGCTCTAGATGAACCTGCTTTGGCCGGGGTGGTTGGACTAGGTGATTTCCAGAGGTCCCTTCCAACCCTGACCATTCTGTGATTCTGTGATTTGAAAAGTGTTGTTAGCACTATGTCTGGCTGTGTTGTGTGAGCAGGGCTAACTATGAATAGTGTGTGACCTCAGAAAATCTTTTTTCCAGGTCAAGTTGGGAGGAATCATTGGGATTCTTTGCTCCTTTTACATAAGCTGTAATCCACTTCAGATTGTTACGTAATTTTACTTACCTAAACAGTAGAATCTCTTTTGTGCTTCTCCATGATGGTTGGTGACTAGGACTGAGGGACTTTGACAGTCCCTTCCTGACTTTTTCTACCTGTTTCTCAGTGTCTGGGTTTTTTTTTTTTTAATTATAAGAGGTGGAAGCTTAAAAATACGTTAGCAGTGGAATCAAGTGAGGACAGACCTTTATTCCTCTAAGGAGTCAGTCTCAGTTGATCATGGTGAACAAACCAAAATGAAAGGCTGGATTGCATTGTGTTTTTCATTCAAAGATAAGTAGAAGATGGATGGTTCTCAAGAAGAGGAAATGCAAGTGATTTGTAACAATTTTGTCATCACGGATGAAATACAAACTCTGTGTGTGTGGAGAAAATACACGTGATTAGTGTCTGACTCCTATTAAAGGGTTTGTAAATATCCTATTAAACTGTTTTTAAAGGTGTGATGACTTTATTTGTAGTTTGTTGTTTTAATCATAATTTTCTTATACAGGAAAAAAATCGCAGTGAGTGTTTAAAAACACTTCATGAAAAAGAGCAGCAAGAATCCCTGGCCTTAGAAGAATTAGAGCTGCAGAAGAAAGCAATACAGTCAAAATGTGACAAGAAAGTTCAGAAGATGTGTGAAGAAGTTGAGACTCTTACAACTGTGAGTAAAATTCCAAAAGGGTACAAGAATTCTTTTCAGAATATATTTTAACTGTGACAAGTTTACAAGGACTTTGGATTTATTGTGATAAAGTTGTTTTAATCTTGTAATGCTTCTTGGAGTGACAGAAGTTCAATGTATTGTCATGGTGTGCTGGGTTCAGTCAGGAAAGAGTTCACTCCCTTTCCCCTGGCTGCTGTGAAGCTGTTCCTGGCTGCAGAGAGCAGCACTGATCAGGTCTCAGCTGGGCTGGGCAATGCCTGCACCAGATTCAAGGTCTGTCTCCCCTTCTGCCCCTGCAGCTGCGTTCCCAGCTCTCGCTGTCTGGCTACAGGCAGTGCAGGGACACACAGCTCAGGCACCTGACCCCAACTGACCAAGGGAGTGTTTCATCCCATAGTACGTCACGCTGGGGGCAGAGGCGAGGAGGGGTCCGGGAGCCATCACTCCCTCTCTCCCGTTCGCTCCCAGACACTTGCTGACCCTCT